AATCAAGTGAATATGATCCTACAATGAGGATGAGGATCTAAGGGGTCAAAATTTGGGGTGCAACAGAGAGGTTTTAAGTCTAGTAGATCTTCTAATAGGGGAAAGTTGAGTATTGTCTGATGAGATGGTCGTTTCAAGTCAGTGATAGCAGGTTCAATGTTAGTAGTGTTGTCAATGTCTTGGGCAGGTTCACTATTAGTCATGCGATCAGTGGGTTGGACATGTTCATTGTTAGGTATGTTGTCAGTAAGTGGTACATGCTCAATATCAGGATGATAGTTAAGAGGGGTGGTGGGAATGTATGTTGTAGGTTGAATGGTATTGGGGGTGTTATAACAACCTATAAAGGGAGTGAAATCAAAAATGAAGGGGGTGGTGGATATGCTATTGTCATGAGGAGATGCAGAACTACTGTGAAGTGGTTGATAAGATGTGTAAGGAAATATATTCTCATAGAATACACAATCTCTGAAAATTTTGGTGGCCCTAGTGTTAAGTAAAAAATGAGGCACCCTTTAGTGCCATTAGGGAATCCTAGAAAAAGGAATTTGACTGATCTAAGGTCAATTTTATCCCTATGTCTTGTTATGGTTTAGGCATAGGTGAGACATCTAAAAGTTTTGAGATGTGTGAAAGAAGAAAGTTCTTTAAACAACATTTCATAAAGAGTATAATTATGGATTGTGGGACTGCATAACCCATTGATCAGTATGTGGCATGACAAAGAGAAAATGACCAAAAACATTTAGGTAACTTGGCATGAAATAATAAATATCTAGTTACATTAAGCAAGTGCCTATGTTTTCTTTCAACATTAGAGTTTTGTTGAGGTGTTTCAATGCAAGGTTTTGATGAACAATGCCTAGGGAAGCATAATAGGAAGGCATAATGAATACAGTTCCATTGTCACTACGAATGGTTTTAATCTTGCATGAGAATTGATTATGACAATAATCAATAAAGTTTTGAATGTGAATACGTGTTTTAGATTTATTATGCATAAGAAAAATCCAAGTGTAACGTGTAAAATCATCCATAATGGTAAGGAAATATTGGAAACCATCCATTAAAGGCACATATATAGGCCCTCATATGTCCATATGCACAAGTTCAAAACAAGTAGAGGTAGTAGTTTTACTAATAGGAAAGCGGAGTCTACATTGTTTGGCTAAATGGCACGCATGACAAAGAATTTTTGTTGTATTTGATTGTAGAGAAAGTTTGAGACATATGATGTAAACCCTCATTAGAGGTATGTCCTAATCTATGATGCCATAGTTCTAGAATTGTAGAGCTATTAGCATGTGTTAAAATAAGGGGAGAATCCTTCTTGGATTGTTGGAGAAGAAAGACCATGTGTTGATAATCCTCCTTTGAAATGACACATTCTTTGTCATGATTGTGTGTAGTCTTGGATTCTGTAGCAGATTTGGTGTTCTTGCTACGATAGACAGGTGGAAAACCGTGTTTGAAATAACAGGTTTCTACTGTGTGATTCGTTTTGCTGCAATTTGTGCAGAACATGGAATTCTTGGCATTACCTTTTCCTTTACCACAGGCAGGGTTTTGAGTGTTATTAGTAGCTAGAATGGTGGGTGTAGCAGCGGGAGGGGTTGGCGAAGCAATTTCTTGTTGAACAATGAGTGAATAGACGTGACTTATGTTATGAAAAGGATCAAGAAGTAAAATTTGAGTGCGAAGGTTGTGGTAGTTATCGTTCAAACCTTTTAGAATGCATGAAACATATTCCATATGCTAGTAATGGCGAACCGTTCTGGCTGGATCGCAGGTGCAGGGAACAAGGCAAGAACAAGAAGGCATTGGGCGTAAATTTTCAAGCTCATCCCAGAGAATCTTTAGATCAATGAAATACTGTGAAAGCGAACAATCAACTTGTTTAATGGAATGGAGATCACGAAGGAGATCTGAGAAATTGAAATGGTTGACTTTGGTGAAACTCTCTCGAAGATCCTTTAGAAGATCGAATGTTTAATCGAAGTAGATCATGATATGTGCAATGTGAGGTGAAAGAGTGTGATTTATCCATGAGACTACCATGTTGTTTGCGCGATCCCAGAGGTCGAAGTTTTGATCGGAGGAGCTCTGTTTGTTGAGAGTGCCATTTATGAAGCTTATTTTGTGCTTTGATGTAAGGGTGTGACGCGTTGATTTACTCCATCTGTGATCGTTATTGTCGTCAAGCGGTGATGCCACCAAGATTGCGCCAATATTTTCCTCAGGATGTAGGTAGAAAGGGCTTCTTTGATTCAAGATTTGATCATTCTGGCCATTGGTGTCTTTCTTGGAGGTATCTTTGATGGTGGAAAATTCGTCAACGGAACCGGTGGTGGAAGCCATGAAAACGTGAGGGTGAAATGCTTAGGGTTTGGAACGATGAAGTCACATGGAGAAAGAAAAATGAGGGAAACAGAAATTTGAAAACGAAAATGGAAGGAAAGAGTTTGGTCTCTTGATACTATATTACACAATGAAAAATGGATTGAAAATGTCTATTGAACCCAATAAAAAAATAGAATGAATGAATTGTTTTACAATAAAGTGAGACCCATATATATATATATATCACTACTAAAATTACTCTATTTTCCCGCGGATTTACCTGCGGATTTTGACAAAATTTCCGCAGGAAATACATTTCCTGCTATTTTTCCTGCGATTATTCGTTTCCAGCTAAAACCTCCGCGGGTAATTAACATAGCAGGTAAAGTCGTAGGAAAAAGTCGCAGGGAAAATTCGCAGGAAAAAGTCGCAGTAAAAAGTCGAAGGGAAAGTCGCAAGTAAAACAGCTAAATTCGCAGGTAATACCGCAGGTAATTATAACTTTTGCAGGAAAAGTCGCAGCAAATTGAAATAATATAATTAATTTTGCGGGTAATTTCTCTCTCATGTTTCTAATTTTTATTATTAATTGTGTTTAATTCATATTTAAAATAATATAATTAATGTATTTAATAATAATATAAAAATAAAAATCTAATTTGAATAAGTCAATGCAACACTAATCACATTCAAATTTTTAAAGTCAATAACAAGTATTTCTAGAGTTACATTACTAAAAATGACATAATCAAGTTACTAATAATCACTTCTACAACCAAATTAATAAGAAAAAACAATGCAACAAAGATAAAGGCAGTAGCAACCATATGCCAAGGTATCATGTATCTCTGTTGCATGACCTCCATACTTGTGAGAGTCTTCGCTAGCCTTGCTCATCATCAAATTCAAGCCATGATTGATCTTACCTCGTGACACATTTGAGTTAAAACTAGTATCTAATGATCCAAGTGACATGATACTAAGATCCAGTGGCAAGTTCAAATCATTGAAATAACTTCCTAAACTCTTAATGGAGGTGATTGAAGCATCCAACAACTGAAAATCTTCTGTGTGTCTACTTGGATCAGGAATGGAAACACCATTATTTTTGCACCACTTTGATATTAAGTTCTTCATGGCAACATTTGGAGTCAATGTCATATGAGGTAGTTCATCTTCTTTTTTTGGACATGTAGTTTTACCCTCATTAAACCACTTTGTTTTCCACATTCTTTCATATGTTACTCCAGAAGCAATGATAACAGGATCATACACAATCTTGAGGATAACGGACACTTATATTCCTCAGGTGGTATCCCTTTATCCAACTCACCGGTGTGAGTTCTATACTGATCATATTCCGAGCTAGGATCCGGCTCAACACGATGATTTTGTAGTGAATGGCGACTAGAGTTATTATCCTTTGTAGTCGGTTCTTTGCTACGAGAATAAAACTTCTCCATGTGTTCTCCCACCACCATGGATTTTCTATGTTTTTTCAATAGATGCATAAGATATCTCAAGATCGATTCCTTTTTCTGGTCATTTGGTCCAATTTTATCTAGCAACTTATTAATAGACCGTCCCTCGACTAACAAGGCCCTTTGTGATGTTATGTTCAGTCTCGGTGCAGCAAACTGAAGAGCTTTAAGTTCAAAATCTTCCACCGAATCCAAGTTCGAAGTACCTTGCTGAAGCAACTCTGTTAAAACTTTCCCAACCTCTTCTTCAGCAGAGTCCAAAACAAATGTAGCACGCCCAAGATCATCAATTATTCTAGAAACCTGCACATCACATTTCAATCCCAATTAGATATTAAAGATGGAGACCCTTTGTGTAATATTACACAACAGGAAATATAAAACTCAGTTTGAAGAAAACATTGACTAACCTCTACAGCCAACACAACTGGAACCATATCCTAAATGGGAATTAAGCTTTGTTCTAATGACTTTTTTGCTCTTTGGCATCTTGAAAGTACTGCATCTCCTGTCACTGCCTGAACGTAATATTAATACAAACAATGTTAATAAATAGTGATCATATTTAGCTTACTTGTTAAGTAAGTTATATTATTGAGATATGCTTTAGAGAAAAAGAAGAAGAAAAAAAACACACACCAGGTAGAGTTTGCTACATTCAGAGCAATGTTGTAAAAGTAGTTTGGATTTCTCAATTGCTTTGTTCAGATAAACCAAAGATTCTATTCCTGATGAACATCTTGGTCGTGCATCCTCTATGTCTGGAAATATCCTCATGATATCATCCAATATTCTCATCAATTCCATGCATATTTCACTATGTACCTGTTAATAGAAAATCCTTAGTTCTAACTCTAACACCTATGATAAACATAATAGTGAAATCCAATGTTATTTATTTATATATGTACCTGAAAGGATCTTGGTAAAGTCTCCACTATTTCACCACTAGTAGTTCTCATCAAAAGGAGTAGTATCCTTCAGCTACATATCAGACAAGAAAGTAACATATATTAAGCAGCATAACATAACAGAAACTTCAAACAGAGATTGAACATCAACAAAACTTAATTCACTAACTGTTTGCTTCAAGCTAATTCTCCACAACAATTGTCACTAACCTCATGTTCAATTTAGGACTAGGAGTGATATAAAGGATTGGAGTGCGTGGAAACCTTGTTACGAACCCAGCCGCCGGCGACTCGGAGTTGAGTTTGGAGTTGGAAATGATTGAGAGTGGCAAGAAGACGAATGAAGATGTTCTTCTCGATGGTGGTGAGGTCGATTGTATCGCGAACTTGGTGAGTCGACATTGGTGCGCATGTAGAGTTGTGAAACGACGGCGTAATGGTTCTTAGGGTTTTGGCGGGACGGTGAGAGTGAAGAGGAAGAATAACTGGTGGGGTGTATGGGAAAAAACTCGGGGTGAGTCTGGGAATTGCGAAAAGGGGAGTTTTTAGAATCAGTCTCATGGGTTTTGTTTTATTTATTGTGTTGCATTTGCGTGAGCGTTGTTCAAGCAAACACAACAAAGAGAACACCAAATATGTCAACAAAATCAAAATCAATGAGACAAAAGACTCTTCAATAACAAAAATTGCATAAAATAGATAATACTACCGACCTAAACCATGGCCTGGTTTCTTTTATAACATACGCATCAAAAGAAATCATTACTCACACTGTAACACACACTTCAAAAGAAAACATGTTACAACAATTATAAACAAGTTATACTCAAAATCAACATAAGTAAACTCATTGTGACATTTCAACAAGCACCTTGTTTGCAAAACTCAAACTAAAACCAAAAATGTCTCAAAAACATATCTTTGGAATCAATATGTCAATTATGTTTTATAATTTTATTTATTAAGAGTAAAAATATAACTAATTTAATAAATTAAAAAAAAAACTAGTACTCTAAGCATTGAACTCAATAGACTTAAACTCTGCTCAAATCAAGCTTAGTCATTATTTCTATACTTGATTAGTGAACATAACTATGACAAGCAAAGGAGGAAACATATTAAAGAACATGTCATTATATAAGTCTTGCAACATAAAATATCTCTCCCTAACACCCTATTCTCATGTACCATACAATTATTATCAGAACTTTAACAATGCAACACTTAGATGATAATGAAATGTATAATGAAAGAAATCGAAAACTTTCAAGAGGCAGAATCCAAGTTAAACTGAACAGTCTGAGGATGCATAAGCAGGGGTTTCAACTTTTATAACAAACGGTGGTAATGTTCGACATCAAGATCCTAACAAAAGTTGCACCTAGGACTCATCATTTTGCTTTGATGTAAAAGAATGGACATGAGAAGTGGAAAGCCATATCATATTCATATCTGATGAGAAAAGGTGAATGTTGTGTTCATTTACTTACCTTTAAATGCATGACCGCATATTCAATGGCAGCTCCAGTTCCTGAATGTTTGGTCTGCAATAATTAACAGAAAAGTCAGTCAAACATTAATTAATCAGATGAAAAATTTATGTTTAAGACATGATTAAAATGGACAAAAAACCTTGTGACATGGTGGAACCATGTTGGCAATGTTTTTGATAACAAAGGCTTCACCAGGTTGAAAATCCAGAATACGGGATGGGCAAACTCTTGAGTCTGAACAAGCAAAAACCAGAAGCTGCAGGTTGGGAAATTCAATAATCATTTATACATTATACGAGTTTGATATTTACTTCATGACTAGTCATTGTTTGGTTCTACCAAAGTTATTTCTACCAAAATATATAAAGCTACTTCCATACTATAATAGAGCAATGTTTAATCAACTCATAGTTATATATACTTCCTCCTTCTCATTCTCATGATAATTGTAATATTTGTCTCAAAATTGTTATTTTAAGTTTTCAAGATAATTGCAATTCTTGTTTGAATGACAGTGTAACTTTAAAAGTTTCTTTTTAAATTGCAGTATTTAATCAATATTCCATTCAGTTTAAATTATAAATTATTTAAGACATTTAGTGCAAAGTAAGAAACATCTCTTTCCTTCACCAAAAGTAGATGATAAAGAGCGTGTAGGAATCAAATAGCAAAAACATGTACATATAGATAGATAACTTTTAGAGCTACCTCAGAATTAGATATATATTCTCTGATGATGTACAAAGTTGTGCATTTGTATCCATAAGTTGTAGTTCAAAACAAACAAATTCTATGTTTATAAGAATGCATTACAATGAGTTCATGTGGTTTATATATCATTTGATGCATACCAAAAACTGGAAACCACTTTCAGTTAATTTTGGAGCTTCTCTGTCTCTGCGTTGGTACATAAAAAATGGCATCAAATATGAGATACATTTACAGCACCCACATATGAACATAGTGCAAACAACTCTTACAAATGAGAAGTAACACTGCCAAGTAAACAGAACCTCTGACTCAGGAGACAAATGAAGTTTTATTTAAGTTGTGCATTTCATCAAACAGCTAGAAGTCATACAAAAAAAACCTGATGCCAAGCAAATCAATAGCTAAGAAATCCAAACTGTTAGGCAAATCATAACAAGTTCTGTTTGGTGTCAGCCAAAAGATCTAACCATAGGAAATATAATGAGGCATAGAGCAAAATAGAGCACATGCTTTTTTCAACAGGGTGTGTTTGATGCATAAAAAACAAATCTGTTTGTTAGTGTTCTCATTTTAAAACAAACCATAATTCATTTCATATCATCATAAACTATATACTAAAATCAAATTCCATATTTCCCCAACAACAACCACCATAATGAATAGCATTAAGTTTTTAAAAGCTACAAACTGTTACAGTGCTGATACTAATACTATCACTCACCGCCACTGTTCAGCCGTGTCCACCATCAGACAGGGTGGCATTACTAGCCTTCAGAGTAGCTTTCCACGAACCATACCTCAGCATCTTCAAATCATGGGCCGACACTGATTGGGAGTCATAGTGGTCGGAAAGTGGTGAAGGAATGAGTTGCGGCGGCGGTAGGGTTTTAGGAAAAGGAAGGTTTGTCTCGTTTGAAGGGAAAGGAAAGTTCACGTGGAATATGAAGAAAATTTGGGAGGTCCAATCTTCAAGCCCACCCTGATTAAGTATTTTGATTCCTTAATTAGTTCAAGAATCTCAACTAATATTCTCAAACTGATTAAGTATTTTGAAAGTGTAAGTATATATATAACGTGACACACATTCAAATGTCAAAATTACTGTTTACTACACGTTTAAGGAAATTTAATATAATAGTTAGCGTGGTTTTGGGCTATCGCATAAAACACTGAGCGGTTTTGGCTTTAAATACTGTGTTTAATTAATTTGATTTCTTAATGTGTCCATATACAAGATTCTAAAAAGAAATAGTATAGTCTTAATGTAAACTATTCAGTTATATTATTTTTATATTTGTTTTATTTTAAAATAAATTATAACTTTTTAAATCATACCTCCAACCATAACTCATATTTATTAAAGAATTTGCATATTTTTAATACAACCTTTAACACTGTATTTAAATATTTATCATCTCACTCTACATAATTAATTTTCTACCAATATTAATTATAAATAATTTTGATTAAATGATCATTAATTAATTATACTAATTTAATAAATGACATAGTATATAAAACTATCTTAAAAAAAACTAAGATTTTAATATAAAATTAAAAAATGTCTCAACAACATATTCTTAAAATTTGTTTTATAATTTTATTTATTAATTTTTAAAACATTATAAAAATTAAAAATAAACTAAACAATTCGCAGCAAAGGTTGCGGAAATATTTACAGCAAATTCCGCAGCAAACTTCGCAGCAATTCCTGCGATATTTCCCGAGAATTTTGTGGTTTCAATAAATAACTAATTCCTGCGAAAACATTCGCAGTAAAATCCGCAGGAAATTTATATTTTATTTTTAAATCTAAAATCGCAGCTAAAGTCTCAGGAAATCCTGCGAAATTTGCTGCCGTATTTTTTGCAGGAAATTATGTTTCACAACATAAAGGCGCAGGTAAAATCGCTGCAGAATATGTTCCGCAGGAAAATCCGCAGGTAATCTGTGTATTTCTACTAATGTATGTATATATATATAGCAGTTGGGTCTCATATATGCTAGCCCAACACTAAGAAAAAATAAACGATAAACCTAATAGAATAACTATCAAAATGAAAGGTGGTTAAGCTTCTAATACATAGTAAAGGAGGAACTTTTAAGGTTTATTTCAATTTTTTTTACATAAATACAACCACCCGATCTTCTGTGAACATTAGCTCTTTGATTATTTGTAATTATTTTGAGGACACAAAACATATATATGATTAAAGAAGATTCTAGTGTTTAGAGTAAAGACAGAACCACCCAAATAAAGAAGAATTAATATGAATGGATATAAATATGATTGTTTGCTAAGATTTTTTAATGATGGCCATAGATTGTTAAGGATTTTTTCATTACTCCCATAGATCTTTCCGCTTTTGACATTACCTACAACTTTATCACATATAAAATTAATTTACATACGACTTTTCCATTGATATTTTGTATGTTAGGATTGTAGAATCTGAATATTTTGAGGGGGCACTTTACAAGCTCAGAATCTAGAATCCAAAGTTTTTCAACCTACAGAAGAAGTGATAAGGAAGAGAAGATATTCTCTAGATTATAACAAGGTTTGAGATTCTAGCACTTAAATGTTCAGGATTCTATAATTTAAAGGTATTTTTTATATTTTTCCAATGCTGTGAAAAGAAAAACTCCAAACTAGTGAAACATTTATTGGTAACACTCTTTTAGGGTGTGTTTGACTGTGAAGTGAAAATGAGAAGAGAGAAATAGGTGAGAGAGAATATGAAAAGAGAGAAATATGTCAAAAATATATTAGATTTTATGGATTGTTTGGTAAAAGAGAAGGAGAAGAAAAATAGAGAAGAAAGAAGTGTTTGATAATTTTTAAAAGTATAAGTATGTCCTTATATTAAAAACTGACTCATTAATTTTTTAAATTATACGTAATCAATTTTTAATAATTAACTTTGTGTTAGTTAATTAAATATATTGATTGAATTTTTTTTAATGTAACTATTAATTATTTATACTTTTAATTTTAACATAAAATATAAATTAAGTGCATAAATTTACATGCATTTTAGATGCAATATTATTTAGCCTAAAAGTAGCAAAGATATTAATATAACAGGAAGAACACAATTGGAATAACAAAAAAATGATATATGTCTTTGAGCTTTCTTCGCAAGAGAGGAGAGATTGCAATTTATGTGTGTTCCATCTCAATTTAATCACTCTTATGTATTTCTTTATTAAACCTTTGTAATTCTTTGCTAAACCAAACAAGAAAAGTTTATATCTTTTTCTCAACTTCTCTCTTAGCAACTTCTCACTCTCCAACTTCTCACATACCAATCTGACCATTAAATTTTTTATGTTTCTTTCGAAAAAAGACTAGCAAGTTGAATTTTTCTCCTTATAATTAATGGTTGTCTGAGTTCTTTTACAAGTTCAAAGGTTGCCAAAATTTGTATTTTTCTTTATTTTTTTTATGAAAAATTCTAGGATGAAGTCATTAAAATGACTTTTTCTTTTATTTTAAGAAATCACATTCTGGCCAATAAAAAATATGTCCTAATACTCTAAAATGCCACATAGGATTATATCATACATACAACTTATTATGTAATCTCATAATAATGAATATTGCAGTTAAGTCCCCAACATATTAAAAGTGACAAAATTACCCCTATCTTTATATTGATTTTAAATTTTTATATAATCATATTATGAAATCAATTAAAACAATAAGTTTCAATCATCTTCTTCACCTTTCTCATTTCATCAACATCATTGCTCTTTTTCATCGTTCTCATTTCGTCCGCTATTTTTAAGAAACTAAAGTTATTCACCGTGCTCATTTTTGAACCCTAACACTGCAGACGAACATCAACATAACATTCATTGTGTTCATCCACCATTGTTGGACTCTTCTTCATCGATCCCATTTCGTCCACTATTTTTGAAGAAATTGAAGTTATTCATCGTGCTTATTTCTGAACTCTAACACTGCAGACAAACATCAACATAACACTCATAGTTCTTTTGAAGTTCCCCATTCAATCTCTCATCAAACATAACACGATCAAAAATCCGCTTGTGTTCGTATTGATAACACTTTTGATAAGGTAAAACCGAAAATGTTTGTTATATTTATTTAAAATTAATTATTAAGATTTACTGATTTCAAATAAAGTATTATTGGGGGTGTTAAATTTAATTTCAATTTGTGAACATGGGTCCTTTGATTTAATTAGCAAATTAGGTATTGTGATTGATATTGACTTTACTGAATTCAAATAAAGTATTATTGGGGGTGTTAAATTTCATTTCAATTTGTGAACATGACTACCTTTTATTTAATTAGGAAATTAGGTATTGTGATTGATATTGAGTTTTGTTATGTTAACATTTGTGTTAATTTTATATTAGAGGATATAGGACAATCTCTTGCTGCACCTTAATGTACAAAATCATATCTAAAGTGATACCTACAAGAATGAGCAAGGTGTTGAGTAGCATTATTAGTATGAGTCAAGCGACTTTTGTGTCTGTACAAAATTGAATGAGCAAGGTGCTAAGGATGCAAAAATTGAATATTTGAACATGAATTGCAATGGTTCAGTTGATTCGAATTTAATTGAGCAAGCTCAGTTTGGTGCATATTGTTCTGCTTTTACTACTTTTTGCGAAAAAGCTTCAAAAAAGAATGGTGTTTATGGGAAAATAATGGATGACATTCTGAATTTACTGAAAAGTATTGTAGTACAGACGATCCTATTAAGATAGCAAATTCAGTCGTAGGTGATCTAACGACGGTGAAGAGTAAAGGTGCTCCTAAGAAGAAAAAAGGAATGACACAAAAGCTGTCAAGCGATGTTCAAAATGCAATAGTATAACTCATAATGCAAGGAATCCTTCTCTAATTTCAATAACTTATATTCTGATTGTTAGAGTCAGTGTCTTATTTTTAATTAAACATAGTAGTTTCTATGGTCACATTTTGCAGAGTACAGAAAACGTGCCACATGAGCGAAATGTTGAGTTGGAGTCTGCGTCATTAACTGATTCTTTAAGCTAAATTGAGAAGGTATTAAATATTTTTTTGTAGAAGGTATAATATGATTTATTAATTATAACGTGTTATTATTTGTATTAAAATAATAATTTGTTTTTAAAATAGAATAAGTAAAGAAAAAGAAGTTGCAATGGTGAAAGAAGTGTGCAAAAGAAATGTTTAGATCCAGCGAAATCC